TGCTTCACTGAATGCAGATTGCTTCAAATTTTACAGCCGCAGGCAAAAAAAACATTTCAGAGACCTGTTTTGAGATTTCACCTGAATATGAGCAGTAGTAATAATAGCACTAATAGTGATCATTCCCTCTGTATATTTTGCACGTTTCTGTACAATGCTATCTCTTTAAAACTGCAGCTCTTCCACTTTAAATTCTGATATACTGCACATTACGGGTAATTATATTCCAGATTCATTAGTCAATAACCCTGATTCTGATATACTTTTAGCAGCGTCTTTCAGTGTCATCCAACAAGACTCTGCACTCTGGTTAATTTGCACTGCACAACCTTTTGTAAACACATTGTGTGCCATGTGTTGAATGCATTTGCTTACTAATAGGAAGTGTTTTGCTTCTTGCATAATTATGAGTCAACCGTGAGCACCGGCAACTGTTGATCAGCAGAAAAGTGTGAAACTGGTGGCCTGCACTTGCAACACGTCAAACCCACGTGCCCACACATGTGTAGAAGACAAACAAAAAGGGGACCCACTCATGCTTTTTTACTTTTCCAGAGGAAATCATATTCATACAAGTATTTCAGTCTTAGTGTACCTATCCAGAAGCTCATTATCTATGCAAATATTTAAATCAGCTCACAACACAAGCCTTGCCGTTTCCATAAATTGATAACAACGATTGTAGGTGTTCCTAATAACTCGGTGTATGGATACCAGCTATGATACAGGCCACCTGCTCTCCCTATAAAGGTCACAGTTTGATGTATACCTTTTTGTTTTTGATGTGTGTCTCCTTGTAGACCCTCACTCTCTGAGCTGGGAAGAGACTATAATTATCGCCCTGGCAACCGTCTCCGTGCTGGCCGTGGTTGCTGTAGCAGCCTTCTTTGGTTACCGCATGATAAACGGTGAGTTACCATTGCGCCACTCTGCGAGGAAGGGCAGAGAACATTCATTATTCAAGGATGCTTAAATGTTTTGGTAGAAATTCAATTGTGTGTGTGTGTGTGTGTGTGTGTGTGTGTGTGTGTGTGTGTGTGTGTGTGTGTGTGTGTGTGTGTGTGTGTGTGTGTGTGTGTGTGTGTGTGTGTGTGTTTTAACAGGAGATGGTAAGCAAGGCCTTCACAATCTGAATATGATGGAGGCCGCTGGCTCCGAGAGCTCTCTGGACCTTGACAATCTCAAACTGCTGGAGGTCAGTCCCCAACATTTTGTTTGATTATACTTTTCTTGCCCAGGAAAAGCCAGTGTATTCAGTGTAACAGCAAAGAGTTCCAGTAACACTACTCTAAATAACCATATGAGCCAATGAGTGGTGCAGGAATTAGTCCTAAAACCCACAAATGCTGCTTCAGTTCCACTTGAGTATTTAGTATTAGTTCTTAGTGATGTATGCTTTTTTTCAGCTCTTTACTTCTTTTATACCCCAAAATCTTGCCTGAAGGTATGAGCCTGTTTCAGCATTTCTACACACAGAGCAGGGCGTATGTCTGTGAAGAAGGATGGAGAACGTGAGCTAGAAAGAGAAACCAAAGTCAAAGAGGCATAAATACACCCAAAATAAATCAAGGTTTATGGTTACATTTGTCATTTCAATATGACCTTTACATCAGACCATCCGATCTCGGCAGGACGCAGTGGGTCGGAACAGAAATAGGATTTTGCTTACAGTGACACAGGATCCTGAAAACCTGATAGGGAAGCGGGAGAGCTCATATTGTGATAGGAAGTCAATGAAGTATGGATGATATGCAGTCACAATGACGGTATAGGCAGGGTGTGGGGATTAGAATGCAAGCAGGAAAAATACATTATATAAAATCCAGACGAGCGGACAGCATGTATAATTACACTTTTCTGAAAACCCCACTATCTGCATGTTTTTGGTACAAGCTCAATAATTTTTTGCAATTAAAACACTTTTCTAAAGAGCGACGCAATGCTATTTTGGTGCTGCTCCTAAACTTGTTTGTCAGATGAAAGGAAATGTATTTATTTTTTGTCAGCCTTGAGCCTATTATTGTTATTACCGTATGTCCATTGGGAGGATGAGTAATAATGATTTAGCACTCACCACCTCCTTTTAGAGATCTAGGTAGCTTAGATTATTCTCCCACAGTGTGATGTAAAACGGACTGAGTGTAAAGTGTAAACTGTTTTAAAACGTACTATTTAATGTATGTGAAGTTAGTCGTTGATGATTATTACAAGGAGAATAGTACCAAGCAGTACCTTGTCTGCCTCAAGCATGCTTTAGTCTCTGCAAGGAACTGAAAAATGTAAGAAATCTGTGCCAATGGCTGACTGGAAGGCAGATAATCAAAACATCTGATCTGCTTTTTAAAAGAGCCCTCAGTAATATTAACTGTTCGTGATTTTTGGTATTGAAGTATTCTGAGTTAAATACGAGTTGCTTTGCTTCTTGACAAGACAGAA